GTAGATTGAGGGGCAAATTGAGGAATGATATTCTGATTTATAGAACCAAAATTTATATTGCTAAGGTTGTTATAAGATTGATTGATCATTTTTACAGCAGAGGAATCTTCATCTGAACCAATTGTAATTATCCAAAAAAGCTAGAAAAGTTTCAATGAAATTTTTTTAGAATATTAAGAATAGAACCAATAAATGAAAATAAATGAAAATAAACAAAATAAAATAGGATTACATTGATCATAGCAAGAAGGGTGTCACCAGCCACAAGAGCCTTAGTCTGAGAAAGATCAACATCGATTGAACGGTATATAAAGAAACAATTGGCAATAAAACCAATGTTTATAAGTGACAGAAGCTATATTTTGAGAAACGAACGAACAAATGTTGATAGTTAAAGAAGAACAATATTTTGTTTAAGGTTCAAGAATGTGAGTATAAGTCGAAATCATTACACAAAAACCTACAATTGAATATATAATACAATTGATAGAGGCCATAATGAATTCGAAAACTCATTTAAATGCAGATATAATAAAATTACTTTCGAATTAAAGGATACAGTAAAGCGGTAATGTTTCATAGAATTACTTGCAATAACCATAAAAAGACTAATTATGACGATACATTCATAAATTACGTGAAGCCAAATGGCAGTTAAAAAACTACTCAAATAACCATTGAAGAGAGGTGTGACGGCACTAGCACCACCAAGTAGTATAATCCAACTAACCTGAAAATTGCAAGGATGAAGGTAGATATGACAAGAATTCAAAATTTTATATTTTTAAAGGGAAAAAAATATGGATATACATACGCAAGCAAGAACAATAGTAACAATATAATGGCTGTTAAGAACTAAGTCAATTTGTAATGCCATATTTAGTACCTCTCGAAATTTGATTTATTATTAGTGAAAAGGATAATCAACCAATTATTCAATATAATGGCTAGAGAGCAATTATATGAAGAGTGAATGTAGTCATATAGTTGAGCGCTGGGAATGCCCAGAATAAATAATTATTAAATAAGTATAATAAAATACTAGACGAAATAATTATACATATGTATAAGGAATAAACGAGAGAATTCAACATTTTTATTTTACCTGTACAAGAGCCTACTGATGGTAAAAAATAATTAATTAGCAGCAGGAAGAATAAATGACCACATCGAACGTCAAATGTGGTTACAGAAAGGAAATGCAAGGTTATTTCCATTTTATATTCAATATTTTCCATTGTAGAAAATACCATATCACAAGGTATTCAAAAATATTTCAATTGGCTAATTAAGAAGGAAAGAGCACTTAGAGATTACGTTGCACAAACAAATAACCTGTTGTGTCGAGTTCTCGGAGATGAATACTAGACTCCGAACTAATATTACATTTACGTATTTAATCTATTTGTTACATACGTGATTATAGAAGAAAATTCATTTAATAATTTGTAAAACACGAAATTATGGCGCTCTTCAGCATATCACGATTTACTATATTTTACTAACCTATGATTTTATGTACATATAAACTTTTTAATTTAAACGAAGTATTTTTTACGATGGACTATTGATAATAAATGTTACGCAAACTTGCAATGGTTGTCTCAAAGTGGATAACAAAACTTCAAGATGCATATTTTTACATATGGGCTAGGTGCTGCAAAAAAGAACAAAATTGATAATTTTTCAAAAGAAATTTTTTATATAGAATAAGATTAGGATCATTTTTTACTTAAGACACAAAAGTAGTTATATTAATAAAATTTTGTAGTATAACTCTTT